GATCACATCATCCCATATTTCATTCCTACCTGTTCACTTTCATTCATGTGACTGATTATAATAGAGAATGATAGTGAATGAAAATGAATTTTCTGTGACTTGAATGAAATTGAATTTTCTGTGATTTTAATGAAAATGAATTTTCTGTGATTTGAATGATAACGAATGAAAGATGAAGTCATTTCTGGGAAGTGACTTAATGAAAGGATTTCTCACTCCTTTCATTAAGAAATGAAGTCAAATCACGTGAAATGAATGAGTTTGAAAGAAAATCACTGATTGTGAATGAAAATCTTCAGTCAGAAATCGGGATGAGTGAACTCTGAATGAAAAAAGTTATGTATGATTTCATGACCTACCCCAAGGCCAAGTATTTGTCACAAGTTCTCCCACCATTGTGGGAGTTAGTAATATTCCAATCAACAGATCCGTACCAGCTAAGGAGAATAGATAAATATTTTGAGGTTTTCGTACCGGCTTGTGAAACATCCAGGCGAGAAGGACTAACCCGTTGGTAACGACGGTCGCAAAACTTACCATCGTCAAAGCGACTATTAGAGTAATACGAGCCTCGACGGATAAGTTGGACATTATTAAATAGCTGAATAAATTCCAGCAATTATATGGCTAACTTAAAAAAATAGTTAAATATTTCAGTCTATTCCCAGCAGTGCAATTGATTTACACTAATTGAATAAATACAATTTGAATTTCGGAATTTATTTAATGCTTTATTCGGAGTAATTTGTTTGGATTTATTTGTAGTTTAACTTACTAAAATGTACACGTAAAATGTATCCTGTGTAGTCAGTCATGTTAAATAGACGAAACTTTATGAGGTTTTTTTTAAGTATGAAGTTCATAATTATAAACCAATTAGATATGTATTAGTGTGAGTACAATAACCAGAGGGCGGATATGTATGTACATAAATTCCGCCAAGTGCTTATAAAACCTGAAAATTATTATGCACATAAAAAATGTTTTTTTAACTTGAATTTTCTACTATTTATGAAATATAATTTTGAGGAAACCTTAATTTCTAAATGAAGAAAAATATTTTTTACATACAAAACTTCGAAATATCCAATAAAATATTTATATTCAGAAAAATACTCGAAATATAAAGGAAAATATGTATATGTATGAAAAATCTTCAAAATATGTATGAAAATATTTAATAAATATGTACTAAGACCAGGCCCCGATTTAGGGGCGGGCAACCCGGGCAGCTGCCCGGGGCGCTAAACTCCTGGGGGGCGCCGGAAGGCGCCAGGGTTTACACTAGATATAATTGAATTTTCCTGTTGTAAATTTTGAAAATCTTTTCTTGGAGTTTTTATGTTTATCAAGTTTAGACAAGTCATTGGGACAGTTCTGATGTGTTGATGCACCCAATTGTTGTGTTAACCTCTACTTTGCTCAACATGTAAATTCTCTAAAGCTTATTTTAAAAATAATAGGCCGGCAAAACATTTAGAGTTTACGTTGCGGAGCAAAATAAATTGTATGATATAACAACTGCTCTATGTCGCATTGGTTACGTCTTGAGAGTTTAGAAAGATTGTGGTTTTAAGTAATTCATTCTGATTTTTGAGAAATGTCAAAGAGGACTCACTATGCAGGTCTTTCACATGTAAACATCGAATCTCCATGCGACCACAAAAAATAAGCATCACCGCACTTTTGCGTTTTTCATAATGCACTACTATGAGCGCTTGGCGCGAATTGTAAACTGTTTTCCAACCGAACCCTCGGTTTTTCAAATTTTGTTAGCGCGAATCCAAAAATTCGAAAATATGCGTTAACAGTATGATTTGCCTGGCTTATGAAAAACCCAGTTGTCTTCAAATTTTCTAAGAATATTACATGAGGATTTTTTATAAATGAAGTAAGGCAATCTGAAGGGACATGTTTTCAAATTTTTGGATTCGCGCTAAAATTAGAAAATTTGCAGAATTTTAAAAACCGAGGTTTTGGCTGGAAAACAACTTAAAATTCGCGCTCAAATTATCGCCTTATGGAAAATGCAAAATTCAAAAAATACAGGGACGCTTTATATTTTTGGTGAACAAAATAAAATTGGTTTTATGTAGTTTGCACGTAAATGTCAGCTTTTTTGAAGGCATATTTCCAATTGTGGTTTCGGTTTGTCCCCAATTTTAAAAATAATCACGAATAAAGATGTAAAAGAACTTCACATATAAAAAGGTAAAATTTAATTTCACTTATTTAAACGCTGTCCAAATCACCGTAGTAAAATTTCTGAAGTTTTAAATTTGCAAAATTTAGACTAACAGTTTTGAAGCGCTGTAACTCCTTGGCCCCCACTCATATTTTTCTCCAATTTTTGGAATTTAGATCTAATAAATTTCGTTGTATTGCTAATTACATTTCCCAAAATTGAAAGGACATTATATCTGAAAATATATTTACCAAAACGTCATGAATATAGAAGCCTATGTAATTTGACAAATTTTTCCGTAACACAATTTAAAAAAAGTTTTATACGTCTAAAACGACGCTAAATCATTCCTGACCAAAATTTACACCAAATTTTAAAATGGCGACAAAGGTTATAAGGTTCATTTGCGATAAACAAAAAGCGAGCCACACCTCCGAACGAGTGCACCACACCGCGAACCAGACCACCAGAAGTCAAGCGACCAGTTTTCAATCAGATTTTGTAAGTGTGTACTCCAGAAGAGGAAATTTTGAAACTTGGTATTTTTACATTATGCACAGGTATATTATGCATGGACGTGGGAAATTCTAAACAAAAATTATTACCCGTTATTTTTCTGCAGTAAAGAATTTTTATCAAAGAACTTCGTGACTGACTGGTAAAGGTATCTAAGCTAAGCTAAAAGTTTGCTATCACATTGTATATGTCCATTCAAATACGGCATGGGTAAGAATATTTTTCGCAAATATCTGATTGAGAAAAAAACCACATGCGAGCGCCGACGGCGCGAGCGGCTAGGGGCGCCTAATTTCTTTGCCCAGATAAGATTTTAGCTTAGATCGGGGCCTGACTAAGACCTTAAAACATGTTTGAATTTTTGCGATCGTGCTTAGATGGGATGCCAGTACACGAAGTTTTGGTACGATCTGATTTGGTATGAAAAAGTTAGAAATACATATGTACATACATATCCGCCGTCTGACAATAACTATTAAAATGTCACACAAGAGCGGGTGCTAAATAAGATAAGCTTGTAACAAGTTACGAGTTAACAGGCAAAAAATATAACCCGGTGGAATATGAATGTCTTGAGTGTTGCAATATCTACAAATATGTATGCCTAATTAACACAATTAATTAGTTTCAGATTGTAATTATTTATTCATAAAATAACAATTACGAAAGACATATGTAGTTGTTGTTTGATATTTGTGATTACTTGCGAATTAGTTGGTTAACAGTTCAGGGGCCGTCCATAAATTACGTAACTAAAGGGGGGGAGGGGGAGGGTCTAAGCCTCCAATGTTATCGTTCCTACATATGTTACACATGTTAAAGGGGGAGGGTTATGGAAAATCGGGATTTTTGAGTTACGTAATTTATGGACGGCCCCATATGGAATTTTGATGGAAGAATATGGTAGATACTTCTAGGAACAACACACCCATGTAGGACACACCTACCTCGTGAATTAGCACTTACTAAATAGTTTAACGTGACACAACATAAAAAAAATTCAGGTACAAGGTTATTTCCTTCCATCTGATTGTATCTGCGACGAGAATACGTAATTATTAAGTAGCTTCAGCTACTTTATGCGAAGACTTTTTCCGCCTGTCTGTCTGTCTGTCAGCAGGATAACGGGAGAACGGATAAAGATAATCAAAATCGGTTTTCGCATCATACATAGGGGGAGGATCCTATCAACTTTTGGGGACAACCGGACCATTCCCACTTGGCGCCAAGGGGTGTGGTCGGGACGAAATAAGATTTTTAGTGCAATTTGATCAATAGACGGCATAGAGTGAAATTAAGGGTTCCGGAGTTGTGCCACACCCCCACGTCACCAGGGGGTGTGGTCGGGGCAAAATGAGATTTTTATTAAAATTGAATTTATGGATGAAATTAAGTGTTCGGTTAGGTTCAGATTCATTGATAGATTTCACCACCATGAACTATTTATCCTTGATTTTCGTTTAATCCGTTGTATGTGGGTCCACTCCCATTTGGACAAAAACTTCAAGTTATTGCATGCAATTTCAGTTTATTCTTTGTTTGCCTGGTGGGGGGGACCCGTTTGGATTATTCAGGTCATTTTTCATCCTTGAAAAAAATTTTGTTCACACATTGCCACGAATATTTTCTCCAGCACTTCTGAATTTCGATAAATCTTTTAAACACATGGGATTTCTCGTTTCCAAGGTGAATATCTCAATGCTATCATCCTTCTGATTATCACTTATCTTCACTCCACTTATGGTAAAAAGTTAAAACAAAAATACTAACTGGATCCATAATTACAGCTGACTTTGTGGCGAAAGAAACATGTGATCGAATTAAATCAACACCCTTTATATGGGGAGATATATATATACAGATTATATGTGTGTTTGCATTACAAGTTGCAAGAATAAAAATGTAAACACAAGTCAAACATTATGCATATTTATGGACATAGATATGTAAAAACAATATCCGTAATGTAGGTTATAAGCATTCAAATACAAAGCTATTAATAATTTTCCCCATATTGCATTTTTTGGTAGCCGTATATTTCCATATGTATTTACTAGCAGATTACGTAATCAAGAACCGTGGTGCGAAATCATCATCAATTAATCTACTTACGTTACGTATTAATCTAACTTACGTGCTAATACATCACATAATAAAAATATTTAGCACAAGCGTGACAAAAAAAGTAAATTAAACTCTCAATATTTTTCATTTAGTAAATAAAACCGTAGTAATTTCGCAGTGTTAACGAAAAATGGAGTTATTTATAATGTCGTTCCTCCCATAAATACTCAACAAGTTCTAAGACTCTTCCTTCATAGATCTGTTAGCTGTCAAGACGGAGAGATTGATTTCCTTAAATTTCCATTTTAAAAAAACTTCAGTGTGTCGTGTTGACATAGTTCGAGTGAGGTATAAATATGATATTTTACGTTAAATTAAAAAAAAACTGAATTATGTCCTTAGAGGTTGTAATTATATTTTAAATTTGAAAATTGAATTTCATAGGATTGCGAATATGGCAATATTTTCGCGAAAAAGGGTCGCTCCATTCCTCTTCACACCCCTGTTCTTCCATTCACTGGATGACGGAGTAGTTTGTCTTCAGATTCGGGCCTGGATGGAGAACGACTTCCAAGGTATATTTACATATGTATTTAGAACGAATAATATTTTTTGTCGTACATTTACATAATTCCCAAATGTTATTTATCAAATCTTTAATCACCCGGGTGAAAAACTGAAATGATTTTATGCAGAAAAATTTATTCCGAAACAATTTGTCCGTAAAATATGCATAATTGTGCTAAACCTTTCTGCAGAATATATATACCTGTCAGAAGTTTTAGGCAGAATCGTTCATAATTTTTCTGCACAAACCATTGTTCCGGCCACTTGTGTAGAATTATGTCAAATTCGACATACGATTTTCACCCGGGCAATCTGATATAAATGTTATATGTACAGGGAATGAATTTGTCCCCCAAATTGATCGAACCGGTGTTTGCATAAACGTCCCGGACGCGTTCAACGATCAAATCTCCTCCCTCATTGCGGACGACTGTGTGCAGATCTGGCGAGATTTTGGCTGCGTTGGAGAAGGGAGGCAGATCGCGCAGACGACACAAGTTGCCAGATTGTCCGACTTTAACTTCAATGATGTCACCTCGTCAGTTTCTTTTTGTTGAGTAAGTTTGCTAATAAGGAGTTCCAACTTTGTACAAGAAAATCGATTTTTTCGCTGTCACAAAACGTTCTTTTCCCAATTCCGCGTGCGATTTCGAAATTTTGTCAAATATTTTTGCGTAAATACAAAATCAATGTTAAGAAAATTTTATTTTTGGACCAACAGAGTGAGCGGAGAGCGAAATCGTATGTGGAATTGATAAAAAAGTGCTTTGGGAAAAGAACGAAAAAAACAATTTTTACAAAGTTGGGAGTCCCTAATAACAGGATTTTTTCGCAATATTTTGAAATATGCATGTATGTAATTGAGTAATTTTTTGTAATCCTCCCGATTTAGTCACAACCTTTCTAACGAAAGTTGAAGTACTCTGACTTCCAATGACCAGTGTTTAAATTGCTAATATGTCCGTTTTACTTTCAAAATTAGTTGGCAAAAATAAATAATAATGATGATGCAAAAATTTAGGGTTTCATGCTAATACTTATTTACACAAAGATAAATCTGCTTAAGGTCATCATACATAATAAATAGGTGAAATGGGTATACAGCCGGTTTCTCCAGATTTCTCTTAAGAAGGGCAGAAGTAATAAGTGACTAACAAACACAAGTCGTCAATCAATTTAACTTCTATTTATTAATTCTCAACCAATTTACTTTACAAAATTATTGGAAGACTCACCACTTAACTGAATCACACTCAAGACAACAGTGTGCTCGCCCTAGATATAGAGTAGAATAGATCAGGCCACTCCCTGCCAAATTCTAAAAAGTCGACAATGCTTTTGAGGTTAAACTAAACCCTGCCTATGTCTACCAACTAAGGCTTTTAAATGAAAAACAACAACAACAAAATCTCAGCCGATGTGACTTAAAATTAAAATGGCTATTTCAATTAATTAAGCCTTACAATTAAGTTTTATTACATTCCAAAAACCTTCCTTCATTTTCACAATGTTGTTTTCCAGATAACCCTCAAACTAAATTGTGAATCCAATACTTAATTCTCCCCATATATCTAAACCTCACAATCTCTCCGCACAAAACTAAAGCACAAACAGCCACACAAACGCCACAAAGATAAAAACCTGGGGTAATCTTAGAACTAAAATCTAACTTTGAAACCTTCTCGATCCTCGGATGCGTCCAATTGCTATAGTGACCCAACAATTTTTCAGGTTTCCACAACTTGTACAAAAATTCCCAATGCCTCAAAATTCCCGACGATATCATTACCTTAAGACGCTTCTCTGCATAACTTTCCTTCATCGGAGGTATCAACCAACCAAAAAACGTCTTGAAATAAGCGTCAACATTTCCACTAACAAACACTATCTTTCTCTCATTATCATTCAGAAAACTCGTTATTTTCCCGACATTCTCCTTCGTCTCGATCAAGGTAACCTTTTTACAAGACGATAAACCTTTTACGATCCTATAACTGTTCTCGGCATTATATTCTACTGGACGAACGGGAAAATCCTTTAACGCACTTTTGTTAAATGACTGCGGATGCGTAAAATTTGAACTCTCCGAAAACGTCCTCCGTTCACTAACCTTTGTAAAATTACTATCAAGGCCAAAGTGATATAGTAGCATGGGGAGCAAACCTTTCGCCTTTTTCCGATAATTCGGCAGGCGTTGGGACTTTGCAAGAACTGATATCTTAAGGCTTGCAAGGATTAAGGAGTAGAAATATCTGTATCGAAAATAATCTGTTAAGGAATTATCATAATTCCCCAGAAGTACGAACGGCATCAAAATTTGGACTCCCGGTACATCCATTACCGTCTTCCAGGGGGATTGGTACTTCGTGGGGATTATCATTTCTATCGTGAACACAGTTTTGTACCAATTTGTTAAAATCGTTCCTACCAAAAGCATCCAAACCGCAAATTCCATAAATCCCAATCAAATCGTGCTTTCCTCTAGGACTTTTCACCTCGAAAATTGTTCTCGACAGGACAGAGTTTTCCAACGATATACCAAGTATGGTGTATAACCCATTAGAAATTGATCTTGTGCGCAACGCCGTCAATATTGTGATCACCATGGCGAAACTTATTCCAAGAAATGTCCAACTTGCCCCGTCCAACGGATTAGTTAGCGCGGAAATCATATCGAAACTTGCCTTCACATTATAGCATGATGCAAAACTGTATTTTTTAACGTCATAAAGATGAAAACTAAACCCTCTAGTGGCCTCCGAGCCGAAACGCTTGATCCGTGGAATGAAGTAAAGCGACGTTGCATTTCTTAAGTCGTGACCTATCTCGTCCTGCAATATCCAAAACGAGACAAAATCAGACATACTGGTTGACCTTGCAATTTCACGATGTTCCTCAAGGGATAGGTCACGTCGAATAGAAGAAGTGCGAAAGTTATTCATATGTTGATAGACTAATTTCTTGCGCGAAGTCCAAAAATATTTGTTCAACTTGACCACAGTTTTACTAACCTCGCCAAATTTATCCAAGCAATTTAACGGCAAACAGTCAATCGTGTACCAATTCTGCGATGAATCAACTCCAATTGGCTGTGTTTTTATGTAATACATGTTAAAATAATGCATTCTTAGCGGGTTACTACTTTCTCCCGTTAGATTATTCAAATCCACGATTACAATTTCTCTCAACGAGAGATTCAGTAGCACCTGCGCATGTCTTAAAAACTTCTGAACCTCGAATCTTGCCATTGTTGCCATCCAAATGAAATATTGTGCCGGCCAAAACGCCGGAATGAAGCAGGGTATCAACATAAAGTTCCCTTTCGTAGCTAGTAATCCGCTTTTTTCGGGAAGAATGGCGAAAGTGGCCCAGCAAATAGGAACACGATTGCGCCTGAGCAGAATGAAAGATAATTTGTTCAGCATAATATTTTCCTTGCCCGAAGTGTAGCCTTGATATTCCAGTAGGACAACAACTGGTCGTGCCGTGAAGGATGGGAAAACAACGTTTTTTGGCGTAACAATTATTATCGTGCAATCGTAAAATGGTTCCAGATACTTGGCAGCTTTGGCTGGAATTATGTTTTTTCTACTTCCTGCTATTGGATTCCCAAGGACCAGTATTGCCGCTACGACTTCTAGTAAAAGCAGGAAAAAAAACGGACTGTTGGAGGAAAATACATCGCACTTCGACAGCCTACCAGAATATATGTTATTATGTACGAGGAATCGTGTTTCAACTAAATGCTAACAGAAATTCCGTCTAAATTAATATTAATAAGATACAGATATGTAAGTACAATTTATTTGCTAATAAGTTTGAATTCTTAGACAATTATTATTCAATCCCGGAATTGATTAATTTTCCGACGTGACTATTTATGTACTACCAGCACCTCAGTTTAAGACAGACAATTCTAAATCGTTACTGCTTTCCGGTCAAGGCATGTCTTTCCACATCTAATTAAACACTTTATAAAATAATGTACAAGATAATCGTTCCAAATTGGCTCAAAAATTTAGAAAGTTTTTACTTAAACCCGGTCTTCACATACTCGTGGAGCAAATTAACGAAACAGATTAGAATGGTTTAGGAACAAAATTAAACAGTTTATTCCACAAAAAATTTTCGGAAGCCTGTCATCAAAGAATTATACAAATTATATGCTTTATGCATGTCTATATGTAAATCCGTATGTGTATAATAAAGGAAAATTTTACAAAGCGCGCAAAATAAGTACCGGAAAACAATTAAGTTTCATACAATATGTATATGGAGCACGGTTATTTAAATCCGATATCCGTTATAAAGCAATTTAAGTACAACAAAATTTAAATATGTATGTACACGTGTTTGTCTTTAAATGTTATAAAGGGTGTTAATAAAGTCCGATCCCATGCATTTTTTGGAGCGTGGTTGTTACAAATTCAGCTGGAACTTTTGAACCAGTGAAGTTATTTATTTCAAATTTTTACCATGGGAGGAACAACTAAACGTGTAAGTCATGAGCATCTTAGAGTTGAGATACAAACATTGCATCAGCAGGGGCTTAAACCTACAGAAATTGTGCAAAAATTGGGCTGCAGCCGCAGAACTGTTTGGAAATGGAAGAATAAAAATTTTGTCCACGACAAAAAGCGACCAGGGCGACCCAGAAAGGTGTCACCTACCACAAAAAGAATGATTAAAAACAGACTTTGCAAGAAAACCGGTAGTTCATTACGTAATTGAGCAAGGGAGTTAAATGACTCAAAACGCTATAAAGAGAAGAAGAAGCAAATTAACTGTGTGACCGTGCAAAAATTTGTGAAAACTACGAAGTGGGGTCACACAGCTTACAAACTAACCAAAAAAACCTCTCATGTCACAAAAATATATCGATGACCGTCTGAAATTTGAAGAACTCCTTCAGAAAAGTGCCCATTTGAGTGAAAAAAGACTTGGTGAAGAATTGCGCAGTCACATCCTTTGGACTGACGAATCTATTATTGAACTATATCCAAAATTGAACCAACAAAATGTTCGTTACAGGACAGAAAACAAATCGGATGTACCATCAAGAGCGATCCCAAAATTCGGGCTTAAAGTTATGGTAGCGGGTGGATTTTGTGCACGTTGCGTGACCCCTCTACATATCATACCAAAAGGCCAATCAGTCAATGCAAAGCATTATATGGAAAAAATATTACCTATCTATTTCGATAGCATGGGGAACAAGGAAATATTTCCGAATGAAAGAAAAATAGTTTTCATGCAGGATGGTGCTATAGCCCATACAGCAAAAGCGAGTTTGAGTCTCATCAAGACGCAAGTTTCAACGGTCTGGAGCAAGGGGGTGTGGGCCGCTAACGGCCCAGATTTGAATCCCCTGAAGAACCAGTGGTCCATACTTAAGGAAAATGTATACAAAGAGCCACAACCCCGGACGAGGGAAGAGCTAGTAAAAAAAAGTTCAAGATGTATGGAATTCGATTTCCAGAGGCACATTGGAAAAATTAGCACAGAGCCTTAAACAAAGAGTTGAGGGCATGGTTAAAGTAAATGGTAACAAGACCAAATACTAAGGTAAATATGTCGAACATTTTTTGTAAGTATCACGGGTAGTTTTTTTTATACTAGCCTTCACTTTTTTACAGGAAAAATGGGATCGGACTTTATTAACACCCTGTAGGTTCACAAAAATTGCCCACGCTAATACAAATATACATACATATTCACAGATAAAATTAGGGATCGCGGACTAATTGCTGTCGATTTAGTCATAATTCCTCAAAGCATAGCTTAAGCAGTAGAGACATGTATGTCAGCCAAAGAGAGAAAAATAAAATAAAAATATTCCAATCATAGTCATGTAAATACTTAGAATTATGTTTATGTACAATTAGCAATCAATCATTAAATGTATGTACCTTCCTGTGGTGGATGTAGTCCTTGTAATGATTCATTAATAAGTAGTTATTTTAATATTTCCTTAGAATTATGTACATATCAACAGTATGCATACATACTTTCAAAC